AAAGAAAATGAAGCAGCAGCTAAGCGCATTAGTGAATTAGATGCAGAAAATATGGTATTGCAAGCTGAGAAAAAAGAGAAAGACAAACTTGAGAAACAACTGATAGGATACTACGAACGACTGACGGCAAACTACGAACGACTGACGGGAGATTTGAGACAAATATCATCACAAGTGACCGGCCTAGAAAACGCTCTTTCATTAAAGGAAAGAGAATTCAATGATTGCACTGAAGTACTAAAGGAAGCCATCAGAAGCAGGGATGAACAACTAGTTAAGCAACAAAAAAACAACATGGAGCTACTAAAGAAAAGAGAAACTGATTTAAAGGAGAAGCATTCGACAAAGCTTTCTGAAGCAAAGAAAGAATTTGAATCAAAGCTAGATGAGTATGAATCAAAGCTGTTTATAATGGAAAAAGAATATAAAGCCAATTTGTCTAGAATGAAGGAAGAGTATGAAGCAAAAATTTTGGCTACAACAGAAAATTATGAGGAGCAATTATCTATCAGTCGTGAAGAATGCGAGATAAGAGTAGCAGAAGTAATGGAGGAGCTTACCTTGAAATCACGTCAAGCACTCGAAAATGCCATTGTATCAAAAAATGAAATATTATCATCCTTTCAGTCTCTACCGATAGCCAGCATTCCTTCATATAAAGCTCAAAATGAAATGATTCAAGCGCATTACCTTTCACAACGAGGAAACATGAAGAAAGGAGACAGATGGTTAGTAGCTACAATATGTCAGTAAATTATCAAAGTTCTTAATAGGTATCTTGTTGATGTGGAATGGTTCAGGCAGTGGAAGAAATACACTGGATTTGATTCATGGGATCAAGATAGTGCTGGACAAGCAAGTGCTCATCCAGGACCAATTTTTAATGGCACTTTGTTTATAGGTAAAGTATATCATTCTTTTTGTATGATTTGATTATATTTTGTGGTAATTATTATAGCAGTTTGCATTTGAGTAATTTGACAGTATTGTACTTTTCAATTGATCGATAGTGCATGATTATAGTAATGTGATTGTCATAACAGCTTAAGTAGTAGTACCTGGTAGCAGTTGTTACTCTTGTGTTTAATTGCATTTGAATAACGATTATTTATAGGCAATGTATCTGAAACATTAAAGGATCATCTAATTGAAGAGCAACACTATGCACTACTACCTGAGCTTGCATGGAATCTTTTACTGAGTTGGTATGGACTATCAGTAGGATCAAGACCTATTATTAGGTAATAGATATTTGCTTTATTGTATGTAATATGCTTATTAGGACTGTAGTAGAGTATGGTTCATGTACCAAGCACTTGAATGTTGAAGTTTACTTGATTGATTTACAGTTGTATTTACATCCTAACACTAATAATATTAAAAGGCATTCATTTAGTCGAGCAGATGCAGTCAGTAAGTATTATCAATAAGTATACACATACTGTTAATACACTGTGTCCATTATAGGCTGTATAATGACAGTAATAAAGGAACAGTTCAATATTCCTGATACTACTGAATGTAGACTGTGGCAGCATTACATGTCAGGAAATTATGAATTATTAACTGATGTTGAACAAGCAATATCAGATGCTGGTATATATGGGTCACAAGTCAGTTGATTTTAATATAAATATTTTAATGACAAATTTTATCACTATGTAGAAGATAGCATTGGAAATAAGAAATCCAGATGGTACATGGCCAAAAAGCAAAACTAAATGATTTGGAATATTGTGCTTTATCTTTGCTCAAATCATAGTTAGAATTTTATTTTTTAATAAGTAACTATAGATCTATTTTTGGTTAACAGATTTATGTTCATAAGTTTAATGTATAGTTGTGATGGATTTGTAGCTTATCTGTCACTTGTGTATCATATAGATCTAAAGTCATAGAAAGTCATAGATCTAGTTATTATAGCCAAGGGCACTATTTCCTCTTATGTGGTTTCTGGTTTCAAAATGGACAAAGGTCAACTTCAGCCATTACTACTGCCTGATATAAAGGAGACTGGTAAAGAGTTAGGTCGTGGAGCTTATGGTGTTGTTACTGAAGTAATAGTTAGTGGAACAACCTGTGCTGCTAAAAAGCTTCATGATGCTATTGTACAGGTATAAAGGGAATTTTGTATATAATAATAATGGGTGTATTAGTAAAAGTAGAAACGAAACGAAACCAGAAACGGAAAGAAACAATCTCCCAATGTAATTTTATTTTTTTAGAAGTCCCCTAGTCATGTTAAGAGTCCCCTACTTATGTTAGGAGTCCCCTACTTATGTTAGGAGTCCCCTAGTTAGCTTAGGAGTCCCCTACTTATGTTAGGAGTCCTCTAGTTTTTGTTTCTGTTCTGGTTTCTTTCCGTTTCTGGTTTCGTTTCGTTTAATAATCTCACTTTATAATTGTTTTTTTGTAGGGATACACTTTGAAGAAATTTTGTGATGAGGTGCTTCTTCACAGTCAGCAAAGGCATCCTAACATTGTCCAGTTAATTGGTGTCTATTATCCTCCTCGTTCACAATTACCAATGTTAGTAATGGAGTATCTTCCTTTATCACTCACACAATGTCTGGAGAGAGAAGAGCTACCACTTCAAATGAAGTATTCTATTCTTCTTGATGTTGCTAAGGGTTTGTGTTATCTTCATGGTAAACGTCCTCCTATTGTACATCGTGACCTCACTGCTAATAACGTGTTACTGACCTCTTCATACTCAGCTAAGATATCAGATCTAGGAGTATCAAGATTAGCCGATACCTTTAAAAAGCATCACCTCACTACAGCACCTGGTAATGCTATCGTAATGCCACCAGAAGCTCTTGAAGATAATCCGGTATATGATCACAAGTTAGATGTATTCTCTTATGGTTGTCTCATTCTTCATGTACTTACTGGTCAATTCCCTGAGCCTACAAACCAGTTTGTACGTATACCTGGCAAAGAGCACTTCAGGAAAGTATCAGAATGGGATAGAAGATCAAGCTATATTAAAAATATACCAAAAGAGACTGAGCTCCTTCCTTTAGCTAAGCAATGCCTCAATGATGCTTCTACTGGTAGACCAGAAATGATTGAATCTTGTCAATTTATAGGACAAGTTGTATCAAAATACTATGATCCAAAAATAAAAAGTACATTGGAGTTGATTAAAGAGAATGAAGCAGCAAAAAAAAGAGAATGGGATCTTCAATGACAGCTTCAAAAAAAAGAGCAACAACTTCAAGAAAGAGAGAGAGAATCTCAAAAAAGAGAGCGACAGCTTGAGGAAAGAGAGAGAGAGTTCCAAGAAAGAGAGAGACAACTTGAAGAGCAGATACAAGTGGCAGAGTCTTCCTGGGTAGTGAATAGAAGAGAGATTACAATGACAGAGGTAGTCCTTGGTAAAGGAGGATGGGGAGAGGTCAAAGTGGCTCATTTTCGTGGTCTGAAGGTTGCTGCAAAAAGTCTTCATGAAATAATTATCTCTCCTTATAACATTGAGATATTCTCTCGTGAAATGAGCATTCTTTCTAAAATACGTCACCCAAACTGCCTTCAGTTCATAGGAGCGACTACAGAGGGTTATCCAATCATCCTGACAGAGCTAATGCCAACCAGCCTAAGAAAGGAATTAGAGAGTGGAGGACTGGCCTATCCTACCATACTGAGCATCAGTTTAGATGTAGCCTGTGCTCTCAATTACCTTCATCTCTTCAAGCCTCATCCTTTACTACATAGAGATGTCAGCAGTGCTAATGTACTCCTTCAATCAATGACAGGAGTATGGAGAGCTAAATTATCAGGCTATGGTTCAGCCAATTTTCAGCATCTTACAAGAACATGCAATCCTGGTAATCCTGTCTATTCAGCACCTGAAGCAGGCAATCCAGAGGAACATTCTCCTGCAATGGATGTCTTCAGTATGGTATCCTCCTGATAGAGATGCTTGTTTGTGAGTTTCCAGACATAGAAAAGAGAGTGGCTCAGATTAAAGCTATCAAGAGACCAACATTGAAGAATCTCATTGAACGTTGTCTGATAGAGAACTATGAACGGTGTCCAGCAATGTCTGAAATTATAAAGGAAATAAATGAGTGGGTTTAAACAATAATTAGTGAAGCAGTGATTTGGGAGTGACTAGTGAGTAATTCATAATGTTTATTAATTTTTGGTAGTCTATCTTTTCGTTGTTATTTTTTGTATTTTTTGCATGTTTTTTTCAAAATCAAACAGTTGATCCATTGAGCTAATGCACACTCATATCATTTAAAACTTTAAAATGTTTATGGCTTTACTCATGCATGTATACATGTACATGCACATGCATAATCATAGCACTGAGCAATGTATAATAAGTGTGGTCACTAATGGAACTGTGTATAATTGTTAACCGTGTATAGTGTATCATTGTATGATTAAATTTGCTTCATTTAAAATGCTTTATTTCTATAACAGCAATATTTCAATTATTTTAATTTTATTATACAGCAATCTCAATCTGTAGTTACAAGCTCCACCACTTCCAGTTCTTGAGTTGGCCTGAAAGAGGCGTACTACTTATTCCACACTTATTTTTGCCTTTTCCTTTTTCATGTTTTACTATTCACATGCAGTTGCATTTAAGATTTGTATCAGTTCTTAAAAGATAATTCTCATTATTAATTGAAACACAATTTAAGAATGTGTCTGCAAGTATTAGATCAAACTGCTTGACCAAATATAATGGTGATTTTTATTCAGTCATTATTATATCTAGTGACCAGGAAATGCATTTAGATAGATATAGATCTAGTCCATCTATTATAATAACCAAGTTTTATCTAGAGACAACCCCTTAGGCTTAGATAGTGGTCTACCACACTATCTATTAGTATCTAGCACAAAATGGACAGGGCTCAACTTGAGCCCTTACTATTGCCTGATGTAAAGGAGACTGGTAAAGAGTTAGGTCGTGGAGCTTATGGTGTTGTTACTGAAGTAATAGTTAGTGAAACAACCTGTGCTGCTAAGAAGCTTCATGATGTTATTGTACAGGTATAAAAGAATCTTGTATGAGACGAGGTATGGGATTTAATTATAATTTTGTAGGATTACACTTTGAAAAGATTTGGTGATGAGGTTCTTCTTCACAGTCAGCAAAGGCATCCTAACATTGTCCAGTTAATTGGTGTCTATTATCCTCCTCGTTCACAATTACCAATGTTAGTAATGGAGTATCTTCCTTTATCACTCACACAATGTCTGGAGAGAGAAGAGCTACCACTTCAAATGAAGTATTCTATTCTTCTTG